CTCACAGCCATTGCGGATGTCAAAATCCCCGGCGCAGGCGAAGGCCCTTCGGATCCGCGACGGCGCACTTATGGATCCGCTGCCGCTCTTGCGCGACGATGCGCCTGCCCCCGTCGTCGGGCGCGCGGCCGTGAATATCCGATGGCCATGCTGCGGGCGGCCGCACTGATGACCCCCAGCGCTCTCTCTGGGACCAGTTCTCAGAGATAACCCGCAACTCGCCCATCCCCGCTCAGATTCTGGCGGCGCCCCTGGGAAGCTGGAGACAAGTCGAAACGATGAAACTACGGGGTCTTCTCAGGCCGCATTTGCGGCCGAAGCACTGTCGCCATAGCCGCCGCAGTTCGCTTGCCATCCCAACCCATTCCACGCCGCGGCCGAGATCGCGCACCCCAGGACGTCTCCGACGAAGTAGCGCTCGGATAATAAGTCAGCGAGAACGCCGATGAAGCTGTCGAGGAGGCCGATGGCGCCCCTGGCGAGAACTCGAATTCAAGCGGGTCGATGGAGATGCAGACTCGCAGCCACTGTAATTGATGGAATACGAGCGCGGAAGCGTCGCCATCAGCCCGCGAAGCCTTCGCTCCGATCCACGTACTTCCTGAGTGACAAATCCATTCTGCTCGAGGCAGGGGTGCCGGATCGCTGCCTCGTGGCGTCGCCGGCGGCGGTCAGCGCAGGCAAAGCCTCTCGCGCCCCAGCAGGTGATGCGAAATCGCGGGCCTAGAAGCCAGGATGCGCCCAGGGCGCAGAGGTGGCGCCCCCCCCAGACATTCCCGTTGTCCGCGAAGAAGGCGCTGAATTCAGACTTGGCGGCAACATCGCTGATCCTGGGTCGATCAATGAGCGGGCGATGCCGCGCGGGGCCACGTTGACTGCGATGCGCCTTTTGGGCGCGCAGCGGAGAAGTTGAAGCGCCCGCGCTTGGACTCCAGAGCGCGGCAAAGCCCGCGCGTTCGGATCTCGGGCCTGATCTGCCACAGGCCCCGCGCTGCGTCGACGCACCGGGGGCGCGCGCTTGAAAATCCCGCCGCGGCCCGCCCGGTAGTTTGACATGCCCCGCGGGCGCGGGGGCATTTAGAGTGGCGAATTTTGGTCATCCAGAGATCCTGACCGTGGATCCGCCATACTTTCGTTGACTTCTGACTTTCAACTGCGTCGGGAACGCAGCCCCACCGATGCGAAAAAAGCATGGCAGACATTTCCGCCGCGCTGATACTTCCGCACAAGCGGGGCGGAAACAGCGACGGCAAACCGCTGCTGAAGTCGACGTCGAAGTAGCTTGGACAATAGGGTGGGGATTTCTGTCCTCCTTCCTCAATCGCCCCGAGCACAGCGGATCTGGAGTCAGGGCAACGGGGAACCGAGCCCGCGCGACGGGGAGTCGCCGATAACACCGACCATGTCGCGAGTGATGCCCGCGTCTGTGGGTCAGCTTCCCGGCACATTGCGATGCGCCTGTGGGGCGACGAATCGATGACATGCTGTGCGCTGGCTTCGGGGTGGCCTGCAGTCGTTCCTCCGGGCACCTACCCCCTCCCTACCGCGTCCCGCGGCTGGCCGGGCATCTGCACAGCAGCTCCGCCGCTGTCCTGCTTGCCGCCCGCCGCCCAGGCCCCTCGCAGCTGCTGCCCGCCGGCGCCCCCCCCCCCCGCTTGCCGCCGCCGGCTCCGCTGCCTCCCTCGCCCCGGTTCTCGGGCCGCTGGCTCGTCGTGTCCCCCCACTTGCCGGGCCCCGCCCGCACTGCGGCTGCGGGTCCACCCCTTGGTGCCCTGCGACGCCGACCCGCGGCAGCTGCCAGGGGCCAACCGTCAGACCGGCCGCCGCGCACACGCTCGCCGCAGCCTGCTGCGCGAGCGTGCTCCCGCGCTCTGCCCCCTCCTCCGCGGCCGATTCCCTCTTCCCTCCTCCCCTCCTGCATGCGGGCCAATTCGCGATGCCGTGCCCCGGCCTCGCTCTGTCGCGCGCGCGGATCGCCTCTGCCGCGCTGCGACATAAAAGGTGGTGCGATGACCTTGGGTGATCCGTCGATGTAGTCTCCGCTGATTTGGAAGAGCAAAGGCCAGATTTCTGCGTGGATTTCGTGGATCTGCGCTGAAACCCACTCGCTGGCGCGGGGAGCTCGCCAGGGGCGCCGCTGGGGGCCAGGTGGAGAGCGCTGCGCCGATCCGAGAAATCAGCGCGGACCGCGCAGAGCGGGACTCTGAGAAATTATGTATATGTTGTTGTTTGCTCTTCGTTGGGGGGGTGCTTCGGTGAGAAGAGCGGGAGGTGCGCCTCCGCCAGCGCCGACTGCCGCTTGATGGTCTCGACCAAAGCTGTCGTGGCCAAACCGCTGTGCGAGGCATCGTCGGCGGCTCCCAACCGTCTGAACTCGACTGTCGCGACCTGCTTAATATAATCGGCCACTGATCTAGCCGTGTTCCTGTGGAAGGTGCCCATGACGGCATTGACGTGCTCAGAGAGCTGCTTGTAGAGGTTGCTGGCGACACTTTGGAATTGCCCAATGCCAGCGCCACCCAATGCCGAACGTTGAGGTGCCGTTGGTGCTGGGAACCTGCTGCAACTCACATGGCGAGCACTGCGTCGGCGTCGTGTCCAGCGCCGCCGACTCGGACTACAAACTCGCCGTCTGCAGCGCCACGTAGTTCACTCCCCGTCCTCCCACAATGTCCTGCACGGCAGCAGCGAAGGTGGTGAGGCTTCGGGCTGCGCACAACCAGCCCCCGCAGCTGGGCCTGGTTGGCCTTAACAGGCCCCCGAGTTGCCCGGGCCGGTCTCAACGCACCAACGCTGATGGCGGGGAGCGCCCCAGCTCCGCTGAAAGGGGCGCCAAGATGTTGAGCCCGCCCCAGGCTACGTTAGACCAACCTGAGCGTGAAGCTGTGGCGTTTGTCCTCCTCCTCCTCCTCCTCCTCCTCCTCCTCCTCCTCCTCCTCTTCCTTTTCCTCCCTCCTCCTCCTTTTCCTCCTCCTCCTCCTTTTCCTCCTCCTCCCATCCCAAAGAAGCCTTCTCAAGCGCGGGCGGCCGTCTGCGCGCAGCCCGAAGCCTTGGTGCCAAGCGCGGCGGCCCTCCCGCGGGAGGCGACAGGCCCACCAGAGCTGGCGACCACGACACCAAAAGCCGCCGAGGCCGTTCGACGACCGCCGTGCCGACGTGGGTCCTCCTGCTGACACCGACGCTCGGACCATCTCGGCGAAGACGTCGCCCTGCTTGCTCCGCGAGCCCAGCTCGAGGTTGAAGGCGTCGGCTTGGCTCGTCGTGTGTCCTCATGTGTTTTTGCCCAACCATCCTGTCGTGCTGGGTCCCGGTTTTTGAAGAGACAGCGCCCCGCGGTCCTCTCCTCTCCACTGCTCTCCTCTGCTCTCCTCTCCTCTCCTCATATCACTCTTTGTCCTCCTCCCCCTCCCTCCTCCAATCATTGCCTCTGCTCCCCGTATGTCTATCAGTTTGGCACACCCCTCACACGTTTCGTGGCCCCATAGGCAGCTCCACCGAAGGTCCTAGGAGCGTCGGCCGCAGGCGTCCGACCCACCCATGTCGGCAGTGAGGGGAGCGTGGCACCATACGAAGCTCCACCGAAGGTCTTAGGGGCGTCAGCCGCGTGCGTCGGACCCGCCCATTTCTTCGGCACACCCCTCACGAGCATCGTGGCCCTACAGGGAGCTCCGTCGAAGGTCCTACGGGCGTCGGCCGCAGGCGTCCGACCCACGCCCCATAGGGAGCTCCACCGAAGGTCCCAGGGGCGCCGCCCGCACACGTCCGACCCACTCATTTTTGCACACACCCCTCACACGTTTCGCGGTCCCGGAGGGGGCTCCATCGAGGGTCCCTGCAGCCGTCCTTGCGCGCGCCTCCCCCTCGCATTTCGGCACGCCCCTCAACTTTGTGGCCCCATAAGGAGCTCCACCGAAGGTCACAGCGGCCGTCATCGCATGCGTCCCCCCCCACAGCCCGCATGTGGTACCCGCCCCATGTTGGGGCACCCCTCACGCGGTTCGCCCGTCTCACGCGGTTCGCGGCCCCATAGGGGAGTTCCCTCTCGATCGTCCCGCGTGCCCTGCGGTACCCACAACTGCATGTGCTTGGATGATGATTGTTGGAGGGGTCTGTGTGGACTCCGCTTGCGTTCGCCGCCGCGTTGCTGCTCTCACGAAGGTCCTCCGTGCCTCCACCGCCGTTGGAGACCTCATCCAAATCGGTGGCGCCGCCAATCCTGTTGGTCTGGGCATGTCCAGGAGAAACGCAATAGGAACGCAACAGCTATATGCAAGGAGTAGCGTGGGTGGGTGTGTGTGGTGGGGGGCGGTGTGGAAAGACCAGCAGGGCCTGGGCAGGCTCGGACAGCTGGGATGGAGAAGGATCAGGCAGCTGGTCGCGGAGATGCGGTGTCCATGTCTCGGCAGGGCCAAGGGGGAATCTCGAGCCCAATTCCTACGTGGAGGATAAGAGGATGTTCGAGTGTTGGCGGAGAAGAGGTTGTTTGAGGAACGCTCGGATTACGAGGAGCAGTCGGGTAATAGCATGCAGCATGTAGCATGCCAGAATGGCTGCGCGGCAGCTGACCATTTCCTGGAGGAGCCAGGAATAAGTCGTATTCGAACGCAGGTGAAGGGGGAGGAAGAGAAGGAGGAAGACAAGGAGGCGGAGGAGGTGGAGGAGAAGGAGGAGGAGGAGGAGGAGGAGGAGATAAGGAAAAAGGGAAGGGACGGACATTAGGAGAAGAAGGACGAACCGGATCGATATCTGATGTTTCTGGGGCCCGAAACCGGGCGAAAACGCCTGGTGCGAAGAAATTGCGACGTCCGGATCTGAGAAGATCAGGAAGATCGGGAGCGGCAAAGAGGGCAGTGTCCAAGAGGGGGGGGGCGCAAATCATGGCCAGCGGCATGTGCGCGGCCCAGGGGAGGGGGGGCGGGGACGTATTTAAATCAGAAGAGGCGCCATGAATTCTGGGGTGGATCTCACGGCCCCCGCCATGACATCCACCCCATCACCCCCCTCTTGGCCGCCCCCGAGAAGGGTGGGAGAACGACGGCAGCGGCGGCGACGAGGCGGAGGGAGCGGGAGGAAAGAACGACCCGGCGGGCCGAGCGGGAACTCGGTGAGCTCGGAGCAGGGCGCGTTGAGACAACGACGGCTCACATCGGTCCCCGGATCCCCCCCCCCAGGGGTACAAACGCACCAGGTTTCCAAGCTGCGTCCAGCCGTGGCGACGATTGGGGTCCCCCCCGAAGGCCAGCTGCCGTTGCCTCAGCTGGCCCTCCCCTGCGAATCGGCAACACGAGGCGGGCTCGGCGCACTCCTGGCGCTCCACACGCAAGGTCCCCGCGAGGAAAATTGCCTCACGCAACGCACGCATGCTCCACAGGAGGGCATCGCGAACGACGCCAGTGCTTACTTACAACGTGCTTCGCACAGGGACGCAGCAACACGCTCAGCGCAGACACTCCGTTAGTGGCACAGTGGACGAGTAGACGCATACGGTCAGACATCTTGCTAGAAGAAATCATTGGGCACATTCTTCGTCAATGTTTGAGGGCCCTAAGGCGCCCTGGGGCGTCTGTGGGACCCTGGGGCCATTGCGGGGTAAGAAGTTCTAGTGGGGCGCCTGCTGGCAGGCCAAGTTCTTCTGTGATGTGCCCACGGAGCATCGAAGCGCTTCGCAGCAAAGAGACACCTGGTGAAACTTGCTTCGCGGTCGTTCATGTCAGCGAGTGGCCTGCACACTGGGATCCGGCACGAGCTTTCAAGCGGCAGACTTGACAACCAGACTTGGCACGGCTGGAATTCAACCAGGCTTGGCAACCAGACTTGACAGCCAGACAGCAACACAGAACGAAGCAAAACCTGTACAAACATAACCCTCGAGCATTCGGATGTCCGCGTGAGTCTCTTGGGTCGGCGCGGCGCTGGACCCCCCTTCGGCTACACGCAAGAGTGACACCCGGCAAGAGTGATCTTTGCTGTGCGGCTTTAGCGGGGGCGCGGAAGGGGGGAGGGCGGGGGGGCGAACCCAAGCGCGCAAGCCGCTGCTATCGCATCGCATCTAGCAGTCAAGGGGGCCCACTGTCGGGCGTTCGCCAGCGGAGGAGAACAAACGGGGGCGGGGAAGAAGCGCGTACCTTCCCAGCGCCTTTGGGGCCCGCGGTGGCAGTCTTGGGGCCGCTCAGGGCGACCCCTTTATGGGGCTTCCCCAGGCGCGCGGAGTGGGCCAGGCGCGGCGCTGGAGCCGCCGCCTGGGCCTCCTCCTCTTTCCTCCTCTACCTCTGCTCCCCCTTCTCCTCTCTCTGCTTCCCCTCCTCCTCCTCCTCCTCCTCCTCCTCCTCCTGCCTCTCATCCTCCCTCGCCTCCTCCTCTTGCTCCTCCTCCTCCTCTTCCTCCTCCTCCACCCCTTTCTCCTTATACGTAACTCCTGCATGTCGCACCCACAAGCATGTCGGTAGGGCGGGCCGAGCGTTTCGCTCAGACTTCCTCATCATGCACGATGCTGAAGCTTGACAGGTGCAACAGCTTCACGGATGCAGGGCGGGTCGTTTCCAAAATGTGTCGCTCGCCTTGGCGCCGCGCGCATTCGTCTTTAAACGTTGCAACATATTCACGGATGGAGGGCGGATCGTTTTGATGGCTCTCGCTCTGGCGCGGCGCTCATTCGTCTTAAACATTGCACCTTTTTCGAACACGTGTTCACATATGGAAGGCGGGTCGTTTTCGAAATGTGGCGCTCGCCATAGCGCCGCGCTCACTCGTCTTAAAAGTTCGCAGCAACTTCACTGTTGGAGGGCGGCTCATTTTCAACATGTGGTTCTCGCCTCAGCGCCGCGCACATTCGTTTTACAAGCTTGCAGCCTGCTCAAGGATTAGTCTGGTGAAAGATCCAGGGGTCGTGTTCGGCTGCGGTTAAAGGTTGTCAGGACGCAACAGTCACATTGATTCGCTGTGTTGAGAAGGCGCAACAGTCGTCGCGTTGATTCGCGGCGCTGAAGTCCCAGGAATGGTGCTTCGGCACGATGAAGCATTATCAAACGGTCATCTTCCAATGGAACACTTCCGAACGTGACCAATACAATATAGTAGGGACCTATGAAGACGGAACTTCGAGAGGACGTTGTATTGCAAAGTCGTGGATGTGTCTTGGGTTCGCACTGGTCCTCCTCATCTTCCTCCTCCTCCTCCAGCTCCTCCTCCTCCTCCTCCTCCTTCTCCTCCTCATCCTCCTACTCCTCCTCCTCCTCCAATCCTTTTCCGTGTCCTCCATCTCCTCCCAACACCTACCCAAGATGTCCGGGAGGGCGTCCGAAAGGCAATGCGCGTGCCCCTGTGTGCCCCCAGGCCTCGAATGCAATGTTTCCCCATCCCTCCTGTGTGTTGGGTCCTTATTTTGAAGTCGCCGCGCGTATCCTGCCTCTCCTCTCCTCTCCCCCTCCCTGATTCCCTCCTCTTCATCCCCTTCCCTCTTCAGTTTCGGCGCCCCCCTCGCTCGTTTCGTGGCCCCCTATGGGGGGCCCACCGTACGCCCCGGAGGCTGCGTCAGCATGGTGACCCGCCCCATTTCCGCGCCCCCCTCACACGTTTCCTGGCCCTCTATGGGGGCTCCACCGTAGGCCCCAGAGGCTGCGTCCACATGGGGACCCGCCCCATGTCGGCGCCCCCATCACACGCTCCGTGCTCCATAGGGAGCGCCACGGAAGGCGCCAGTGGCTGCGTCCGCATGGTGACCCGCCCATGTCGGACTATCCCTCACACGTTTCGTGGCCCCACAGGGAGCGCCACCAAGGCCTCCGTGGCTGCGTCCGCATGGTGACCCGCCTCATTTCGGCGCACCCCTCGCGCGCTTCGGGCTACCCCTGTTTGCGACTTGAGCAGTGAGAGTGCGTGCGTGAATTGGAAACGTTGAGTGCGGTCTGGCGCTCTTCGGCGAAGAGTTCAGGGGCACTGCAAATTCATCCATGTGTCCTTATGTCTTCAAAGGCCCCATTCGTGACCGCCGTGTGCTTAGAAAGGTTTGGGTTCTTCGCCAGGATAACCTCCACGCGGTGTTCCCAGGAGCTCAGAGCCACTTCCTGGGGGGGGGGCACCCCCAGGGGCCAGACATGGCGAAGAAACCTTCGTCTGTTTTTTTCCTGCTGAGGACGCTGAAGATCTAGGCTCTCCGAATGGTTTGGCAATGGGGTCGCTCTCTCCGCGATGCGGGGCTTCGTCCCTTCGCTGCCTTCTGGCACGTCGCTGTCCGATGCAATGCCGAACTAAAGAAGATGGGAGCGGAGGACACGCTCGTCTCGAGCCATCAGCGGCCACCAGCACGGCGCGCAAGACGGTCTGCCCAGATGCTCCTGGGCCGGGGGGGGGTGCTCGGGATTCCACACCAGGGGGAGAATGAGGAGCAGGAAAAAGCCAGAGGAGAGTTAGGCGGAGGCGGAGGAGGGAGGAGGAGTACGGAGGCGAAGACGGACGAGGTGGAGGAGAAGGAGGAGGAGGAGGAGGAGATGGAAAAGTAGAAGGGGGGGATGAGAAGGAGGAGGAGGAGGAGGAGGAAGAGGAGGAGGAGGGAGTATGAGGAGGAGGAGTAGGAGTAGGAGGAGGATTAGGAAGAGGAGGAGCAGGAGGTGGAGGAGGAGAAGGCTTTTCTGACATCCACATCGTCTGCATCGCCTGGGCACAACAGTCTGATTGCGGCTGTGCCTGGGGCGACCTTAGCCGGCGCTGCAAGGTGGCACACGAAACAGCACACGCAAGCCAACGCCGAAACGAGTGCTGGAAAAGGCTCGCCCGTGGATCTGCAACCCGAAGGAGCGCAGGGAGCCGAACTTAGTGCAGATAATTCTGAGCCATCGCTGTCCTGTCGGACGCCAACTGGCACTCGCGGCAGCACGTTCACCCTCCTCCTCCTCCTCCTCCTCCTCCTCCTCCTCCTCCCTCCCTCCTCCTCCCTCCCTCCCTCCTCCCTCCCTCCTCCCTCCCTCCCCTCCCCTCCCTCCTCCTCCTCCTCCTCCCTCCTCCTCCTCCTCCTCCCTCCTCCTCCTCCTCCTCCTCCTCCTCCTCCTCCTCCTCCTCCTCCTCCTCCTCCTCCTCCTCCTCCTCCTCCTCCTCCTCCATTCATTTTCCTAATAAATACCTTCTCCCTGTCACACAACGAGGCTAATTTTTAGGGCATCCCGGGCGTTTCGCCTGAGATTCCCCACCACTGATGACTCTGAAGTCTAAACATTGGGAACAGTTTTGCCGATGGAAGGCGGGTCGTTTTCAACATGTGGTTCTCGCCTTAGCGCGGCGCACATTTGTTTACAAAACGCAAGAGCTTCGCGGATTGAGGGCGGTTCCTTTTCAACCTGTGGCTCGCACCTTGGCGCGGCGCACATTCGTTTTAAAAATTTGTAAGAGCTTCACAGGTTGAGGGCGCTTCCTTTTCAAAATGTGGCTCGCACCTTAGCGCGGCGCACATTCGTTCTAAAGATTTGCAAGGGTTTCACGGATTGATGGCGGCTCCTTTTCAACATGTGGTTCTCGCCTTAGCGCCGCGCACATTCGCTTTAAAGATTTGCAGGACCTTCACGGCTTGAGGGCGGTTCCTTTTCAAAATGTGGCTCTCGCCTGAACGCGGCGCACATTCGGATTAAAAGATTGCAAGAGCTTCGCGGATTGAGGGCGGGTCGTTTATTTTAGTGTGGCTTTCGTCTGAGCGCCGCGCACATTCGTTGTAACAAATTGCAACAGCTTCACGGCATCCCATCATAAATGTACCAGAAATGGTGTTTGGGCAGGGTTCAGGATTACGCGGGTACAACATTTACGTTGTTTCTCTGTGTAGACAATCACGACGTCGTCGCCGACGGCCTTCTCGACGCGCAGGGACTGGCGCATGCACCAGAAAGGAAATCTCCAACAGCGAGGAAAGAGCGACCGTTTTCTTCCTCCCACCGAATAGCGTGGTGTCTCCGAAGCCTGCCGCAGATGCCAAAGGTCGACGCGAACGAGCCGATCGGTCGATAACCTCCATTCTTCCCCTAAAGCAATCAAGGGATGTGTGCGTGCGGCCTGAACGGGCGTCAGGCTGGTGGTCTCTCCATAAGCTGAAGGATAGCCATAACGCGTGCAAGGGGCTGTCCGACATGTCCACGACATGTCTCATATGGAAGCCGCTCAGGCCCACCGCCGAGCCAATGGGGTACGTGCGGGCGGCCGCCATGATCGCATCAGGGTTGCAAAACTTGAGCGGGGCGTGGTGAACGCGCTCATCGGACTCGGGTTCGGGTTCCGCCTGCGCCGACCAAAGATCCGAATAGCGCGCAACTTCCGTCAAAAGTAAACTCTTGGGATCAGCCAAAACTTGGCCGCTGGCAGAAAAGGTGGCGGTCGGGGCCTGGGGGGTCCAAATCCACGTCCACCAGCGGGCACCATTTTCCCTCTCTCGAAAGTCCACCCACAAGCAAAGATCGATACTCCTTGGGCGACGCGGCCTGGGCAACGCCCGAGTAAGTCTCCAGGAAAGCTGCTCCATGAGACAAGCACCACATCACCAGAAACGAAACCCTGCGTGCTGCCGCTGCTTTCTGAAGATCGTCGACGATGGGTCCATGCACTTTCTGGCGCGCGTCAAAGTGCTGGCGAATCTCAGCAGGCGGGTCAAGCAAGGCGTCCACGAGCGCGCCGGCGTTGTCCAACTGCTGGCTCTTGGTTGCCGAGAACAGGAGGCGTTGTGTACCCTGCAGCAACCAAATAGAGAACAGGGCGGGCTGCCTGACGTTGCGAGATTGATCCCTGGCCAAAACACCACCCCAAACCAACGTCGGCCTTTCCCCCCAGAGGGGCCGAACACGGGGAGCTTGACTCGCAGCGTCTGGGAAACCTCCAACTCGGTCAGGTCAGCCCAAAGCGCATACAACACATCAAGGCGTCGCTGCGTCTGCCTCCTCCCGACCCTGCGGCCAGCCAGGTTGAGGCCGTGACTCGCGCAGTCGAGGATGAAGGTCCACGAGAGGGTTCGGCAATGGGCCCGATGGCCCTGTTGACGGGGCTGGGCGGAGGTTTCGAAAAACAGAGGCACTGAAGATCTGCCAGCAGGGGGGGAGAAATTCACAGAACCTGATTGGCGGGGTCTCGTGTCCGAGAGTAAACGAGCAAAAGCGTCCGAGATCGTTTTGGACAGCCGCGAGCTAATGACGAAGAAATAGATCATCCCCACCTTCCCTAGGCGGAGGTGCCAGCGCACGTACCTTGGACGTGCTCGGGAAAACGTTGCGAGGCTGCGGGCTGGTGGCGAAGTCGCACTCTGGTAACTCGCGCGGCGCGAAATTGAAGTCACATCCGAGGATGAATTCGGCAGCGTGGGAGTTCACGACGGTTCCCAGGCATACCCAGGTACCTAAGTTATCCGCTGACAAACCTTGCGAATCAATGGAGTGCACGGAAGATGCCAGGACCGTGGGGCCCCCAGGGACTGAGACCCAACAAGACACAGCCCTCGCAGGGCAAATCTCGAATCCACCAGGAGGGCAGTACAAGCCCAGGGAGTCCCGAACGAGAAAACCGACGCCTCCAGAGGGAACGCCGCAGGGCCGATAGCAGCGAGACCAACGCGGGCATGCCAGCCCTGCCTGTTGGCCTGGGCCGTGGCCTAGTTGATCGGAGAACAGGAGGTGAGGTGATGCCCCTGTATCAGGAGGACGTAAGCGTCCACACGCAGGATCCAAGACTTTGCTGAACCCTTCACAGGGACATTGACTGTTTCTTCTGCCAGCTCAAGATCCTCAAAGGCTACGAGGGGGCTTGTGGGCGCTGGAATGGTCCTGGAGGATGCGATCGAGCCTGCAAGAAGGTGGCACAGTGCTTGTCAGGCCTGATCGGAGGAGGAGGAGGAGGAGGAGGAGGAGGAGGAGGAGAAGGAGGAGGAGGAGGACGAAAACCACTTTAAAGGACCCCCCCGCCGAAGCTCGGGGGTTAGCTAGCGGAAGGGGGCGGGGGTGGCAGGCTGCAGGGGCGGTGCAACGGGAGAAGCATCCGCCAGCATCGCCTCTGAAAAAAGGGCTCAGAAGCCGTGGCCGCTCCCTGCGAGGAATCCCGCGAAGGCCCAGCCGTTGGAGCCGACGCATCCTGCGAGCCCAAACCAATACCACTGCCGAAAGTCTCGTCGTCCTTGTCGCCTTCCTTGCCTTCGACTGAGATGCGCTCGCAGTCCGCGCCCTTTCGTTTCTTCTTCTCCTTCTCCTTATCCTTCTTCTTCTTCAGGTGGTCAGCGTGGGTCTTGTGCTCAGCCTTGATGGCGTCGGCGCACTGGACCACCTCACTGAACAGGTTCCGCACCAGACGCGACATCCGCCCTGAAGGTCCGCGCGGCGCTTCTAGAGCGCATCCATGTCTCCAGGATGAAGTTCGTAATCCTCAGGGTCGGGGCCGAAGAGCTCGTCCTCGGCTTCGAGCTTGACCGCATCATCTTTATCAACCAGCGCGTCTCGAATTTTGATGCTGGATTTCTTGAATGTGACGTTATGGCCCTTGTCGCTAGTGTCCTTTGACTGCAAGGTCGAGGCTTCTTGAAATGGTAGCAACTGCCAGCCTTGGCCTTCGTAAACTCGTCCACCTCTGTCCGCAGGCGTTTCTCGAGCAGTTCTACCTTGCCCTGGGCGTCGCCGATCTACCGTTGCAAGTGTTCGACAGGCGACCCACTCACGGCATCCTGCTTGAAACCTGAAGCCATGCGTGGGCCGCCAACTTTGGATCCTGATACTTCTCCGCACACGTTAGAGATCACCGATGTCGTAATATGACTCCGTTTTGGTATTCGATGCGTCCGTGGCAGGGTCCTGGAGCCAACCACGGGAGGCACTCTCGATCGCGAGCCGTTTCTTCATGCGTGGTCTCTTGCAGGGCTCACAGCGATCCTGGCCCTCGAAGTTCTCCCTGCAGCCACAGTCGGGATCCGCGCTCGTCCAACGATCCTTGGACCACCTCCCGAATAGTTTGACCAACGAGAACCGTTACCACGAGGACTGCCGCCGTTAGCATGGTCATGACTGTGCGCCAGATCCCAAGCAGACTCGCGGGCCATGGACGACGACTTGCCCCGGCCTTAGTCCCAGCCGAGCCACGCGTGGCACCGCAAGGTCGTATCTTCTTCGCCGCGAAAGTGTCGAAACTTTGGCTCGCTGACTCAATGTGCCTCCCTGAATGTAAGAAGACAGCAAGCTCAGAGTGTGCGGTGTCGCCAGCATGTCGCCTCCCGGAGCCACTGATAGTTGAGCCAAAATGGCGACGGAAGAGGGGGAGGAGGAAGAGGAGGAGGAGGAGGAGGAGGAGCAGGAGGAGGAGGGGGAGGAGGAGGAGGAGGAGGAGGAGGACGACGACGACCGACGAGAGGATGGAAGAGGAGGAGAAGGAGGAGAAGGAGGAGGAGGATGAGGAGGATAATGTGGATGGGGGAGGCCCACCCGCTCCGCGCCGTCAGCTGAGCATCAGCTCGGCGTGCGTGCCCGGCATCAGCCCACGAGGCGTGATGGGCAACGTCTGGAATTCGTCCTCAGCACACGGTTGCCGCTACCCTCCGCACGGCCACAGAACCATGGTGCACTCGGACAGATCCTTCCTGTTCCTCCTCTCTTTCTTCCTCCTCGCCCTCCTCGTCACCACTAATCCTTCTCTTCCTCCTCTTCCTCCTCCTCCTCCTCCTCCTCCTCCTCCTTCTCGCTGTCCTTCTCCTCCTCCTCCTCCTCCTCTCCTCCTCCTTCTCTCCTCCTCCTCCTCCTCGCTCCTCCTCCTCCTCCGTCCTCCCCGTTCCCCTCCTCATCATCATCCGCCCCCTCCTCTCCTGCACCTCCTTGTCCTTTCCTATTCCTCCTCCTCCTCCTCCTCCTCATTCTCCCTCCCCTTCTCCCTCTCCTCCTCCCCTGGCCCCCTGGCACCCCTGCACCTCCCCCTGGCCCCTTGGCCCCCCATCGTCCTGCATCCCCAACCTTTGCCAGCGAGGCACACAGGGGGGCCACGCGAACACTCCGAGTCTCCTGCCGATGCTGCGCGCGTCTGGCCACGGCTGCGCGCCCGCCTCGAAGCTCTGAGCTGAGCCCGGAGCAGTACCGACATCCACGACACCAGCGCCGCCTCCTCATCCTCCTCGTCGTCGAGGAGGAGGAACAATAAAAGGAAGACGAAACATAACCATAATGGCAATAACAATAACAGCCAACACAAGCGTACTACCAACACTACGAACAATAAGAAGACGAGGCTCCTCGATTCCTTCTTCGCCCCAATGTATTCCTCTTCCCCCTCTCCTCTTCCCCCTCTTCCTGCTGCTGCTCCTCCTCTTGCTCCTCCTGCTCTTCTGCTCCTTCTCGTCCTGCTCCTGCTACTGTTCCTTCTCCTCTTCCTCGCACTGCTCCTCCTCCTCCTCCTCCTCCTCCTCCTCGTACTTCTCCTCCCCCTCCTCCTCCTCCTCCTCCTCCTCCTCCTTCTCCATCTCCTGTTTCTCCGTCTCCTCCTGCTTCTCCATGTCCTCCTCCTCCTCCTCGTCTGCCTTGGCTGCGGCTGGTCCTGGCCCAACTGGGGCTCGGGATCCGTTGCTGGGACGGGGCAGGAAGGATGACCTGATCCTCATGCATTGCATGCGCAATGCACTGAACACCGCTCGCGCGCTGCACTGCCGCAACGTTTTTAGTTATACTTTTTGTTTTTTTACTGCGCCCTGTAAGAACACCAAGTGTTCGAAACGCGTGGGGAGCATGTGAACGGCAACCTGTCGGGATCGGATGCTCCGGCCTGTGAAATCGCCAGACAAAAGGCTCCTGCATTCTACCAAATACAAAGTGGGCCCTCAATGACCTCTCTTCAGGGCAGGTTAATAATGGGCTCCCATAAATGGAACTCTCGTTGAAGGCAGCCCATCAGTGACCTCTCCAAGAGGTGCGTCACTGGCGGGCTTCCGTAATATGACCCCCTCGGAATCCCGAATAATCCGGGGAAATCCTCTGCTCTTTGCAACGTCTGTGCTACTACCTCGCAGTTTGCCACAACAGGGTCAACTAGGCGGGGCGCCCTTCAGACACACCTGGTGGCACACCCTTCAATCCGCTAGTCTTAGGGGCGTGACGGGCGGCTCGCTCTCCCAACCGATTCGCAGCCGTCTCGGCTGAAATGCCAGAGCAGCGCCAACAAGCTCAGGGGGGGCGGGCGGAGGCGGAGGAGGACGAGGGAAAACGGGATGAAGTAGTTTTAGAGGATGAAGGGGGCGCACCCTCCTCCTGCTTCAAGGGATGTGATGTCGCATCTTGCCGACAAGTCCCGCGCGACGTCGAGTGCTGTTCCCGTGTTAGGGTCCCTCTCTCTATATGTCGACTTCTTGGCTGCTGCAGAGCTCACTGCAGAACTGAGCTGGCAGCTTCAGACCGTTCTATTCGATCCATAGCGTGGCGCGCACTGCGATTCATCAACGCACATCTGCTCGGCAATAATCCTGGGCATCGCTCTCCTCGCTTGCCGATCAGCGCCGCACTGCGTTCACGTCGCCGTGCGCTTCCCCTGGGGCAGCAGCGCTCGCCCCTGCCGCCCAAAGGGAGGCCGACGGAGGGCGAGGACGCAAGACCCCACGCTCGGGCAGAGCCAAGGGCCACCCGGCGCCGCAGGACCCAGGAAGGGGAAAACGGGCAGCATGATGACGAGGACCCAGGAGGAGCCGTCGACGGACGGAGCACGGGAGAAGGGAGGAGAAGGGAGGAGGAGGCGGAGGAGGCGGAGGAGGAGGAGGAGGAGGAGGAGGACGAGAAGGAGGAAAGGGAATGGAGGGAGAGAGGGGGGAGGAGGGGGGCGGATGAGGAGGAAGGTGGAGGGAGGAAGGGAGGAACGAGAAGGGAGCAGGGCGCAGGGAGGAAGACAGGAGGAGGAGGAGGAGGAGGAGATGGCAAGGAGGAATGTGAAGGAGGAAGGAGGGGGAGGAGGGGGGGAGGAAGAGCTTGCAGGGCCAGACGAGCAGCAACAATCGCAAGAGGGATCCCCCCTGCTTCCCAACCCACCCTGGGCGGTCCTGGGCCAGGCGCGCGCGGCGCTTGGCCTTGTTGCCTCGGGGGGCTCGGCGGGAAGATGGAGGGCGAATGGGCGGGCGAGCGGTCCGTCGTCGGACCGGTCCGTCCCAGACATGCTCGCGTCGTAGACAACAACACGACGGGAGGTTCTTGTCCGTTTGCGGCCTCTGGGGGCCCTCGCTCGGCCCCAGGGCAATCGAAAAATTAGTCGCGATGAAAAACTGGCCCCTGGGAAAGGTCGGGACTTCCGGGGGCCTCGCATGGAAAGTATCAAGACATCCCGCGAGCTCCAAAGTGGCGCGAAGAGCTGGGGGCACCTTGGGCCAGGACAGCCTCCCCGAGACTCTGACGCCGCGACGATTTCACAACGCGGACCTCGGGAGGTCTGGGCCCGGGTTGTCTTTGACGGTCCCAGTGCCCGGCGAAGGCCCCCGAAAACCGAAAATGGCAGAGAACCTCCCGTCGTGCTGATTTCCACAGCGCGAGGAGGTCGGGGGTCTGGCAACCCCCGAAGGGTGGATGGTCAGGGGGGGTCGCTCTACGTAGGCCAGAGCGCCCCGTGTCAAGGTCGCGAGTGCGCGCAGCCGCCCACCGGTTGTCTTCGGGGCTTCCGCTCGCCAGCAGCCTCCTCCTCCCCCTCCTTTCGGCGGCGCCCAGGGGGGAAAGGCAGAGGCGGCGGGCCTTCTCAAAAGGGCGCAGCAAGCCTCTGGCCTCACGAGTAGTGTTCCGAGCTTGAGCCACAGAGGGCTTCTCTTGGTGGCGACATCCGAACCCTACCCGCACCAACCATCGGCTTTCCCAGCTCGATGGGAGGCGGGGCTGGGTTCGGAAGTGCTCGACGAACTTCGAACCCTGCCCACGCCGCCCGCCGAGTTGCCTGCACCCTTGGTCGGTCAAGGTAGGGTGCGGACTTCGCCGCCGATTCTTAGGCCGGGGGGCTTCCGAAAAGCCCCGCTGCCTTCTGAGAAGGCCTGGCCCGCCCCCTCTCACTTCCCCCCTCGGCGCGCCGCCGATCCTTCACCTCCGCACATTCTCCCTTCCCTTTCGACCGAATGCCGCCACCGCTCCGCTGGAGAGAAGACCGCTCTGGCCGAAGCCCGCTCCAGCAAAACCGCTGCGATACGGCAGAAGCCCGCTCTGGGAGAAGTCCGCTCCGGCAGAGACCGCTCTGGCAGAGACCGCTCTGGCAGAGACCGCTCTGGCAGAAGACCGCTCCGGCAGACGCCCGCTCCGGCGGAAGCCTGCTTCGGCAGAAGCGTTTCCTCTCTACTACTCATTGCTGCTGGTCTCCCTACTACTACTCTCCGTCATTTCTCACGCTGCTTCTCCTCTTCCTCCTCCTTCTCCTCCTCCCGCCCTCCCTTATCCCTCGTTTCTGTGACCTCTCCCATCCCTCATACTTCCCTCCCTCATCTTTCATCCCTCCCTTCCTATATCATCGCTTCCTCCCTCCTTCATCCCACATCCTTCCCTCCCTAATCCCTCATCCTGCTCTCCCTCATCCCTGCTACTTCCCATCATCTCTCTCTCTCCCGCTCTTCCCGTCTCCCTCCCACCGTCGCCGTCGCTCTCGTCGCAGCCGCCGTCGCAGTCGTCGCCGCCGCCGTCGTCGCCGTCGTCGCATTCGTCGTCGCATTCGTCGTCGCGTCGCCACCGTCGCCGCCGCCGCCACCATCGTCGTCGTCATCGTCGTCGCCGCCGCCGCCGTCGCCGTCGCCGTCCGCCCGCTCGACCTTCTGCGATACGCCTGGCAAGGTCCGATCGCTCGACCCGACCCGCCCATCAAGGTTCACGCGTGCTCACTCGGATGTTCACCGCACTCACTGTCCCACCCGCCCCGACCCGCCGGTGTGGGTCCTCCCGCCCGACCCGACACGCCCGTTAGGGTGCGCCCGCCCGCCCCGCCCCGACCGTTAAGGTTCACGCAGGCTCATTCGAGTGCGCACCACACACGAATGTCCCGCCAACACGCCCCGACCCGACCCTTCGGGCGCGCCTGCCCGACCCAAGCCGCCTGTTACAGTGCGCCCGTCCGACCATGCTGGACTCGACCCGCCCAGTATGGCTTACGCGTGCTCACTCTGGCGCGCACCATACTTTAATGCCCCGCCGCCCGACCCAACCCGCCCGTTGGGGATCCGTCCGCTAGGGTTGACGCGGGGTGCGCCCGCCCGACCCGAATCTCCTGGTAAGGCTCACGCGTGCTCGCTCGATGGTGCACTCTGTGTTGATACCCCGCCCGCCCGACCCGACCAGCCCGTTCGGGTGCGCCCGCTCGACCCATCCGCCCTTTTGCGATGCACCTTCCCGACCCGACCCGCCCGTTGAGGATCACGCATGTTCACTGTAGTGCGCATCGCCAGCCCAGCCAGACCCGCGCGTTAGGTCCGCCCGCCCAGCCCGAACAACGCCCGACCCGCCCGTTAAGCTGGGCCCGCCTGACCCGACCCGCCTGTTACGGTGCGCCCGCCCGACAGCCATACTCGCTCGTTAGGGCTCACGTGCGTTCGCTCGAATGCGCACCAGACTTGAATATCCCGTCCCGCCAACACGCCCCAACCCGCCCGCTTGGGTGCGCACACCCGAACCGACCAAACCATTGAGGTGCGCCCGCCCGACCATGCCCGACCGAGACGGCCGGTAAGGGTCATGCGTGCTCAGTCTAGTGTGCACCATACGTTGATGTCCCGCCCGCCCAACCCGACACGCATGAGAATCCACCCGCCCGTTACGATCCGCCCGCCCGACCCGGCCCGCCCGTCGGGGCTCACGCATGCTCGCTCGCGTAGGGTGCGTCCGCCCGATCCGACACGCCCGTTGCGGTGCACCCGCCCGACCTGGTGCGCCCGTTACGGTTCACGCGTGCTCACTCGAACGCGCATCATACTTTCATGTTCCGCCAACCTGACCTGACCCGCCCATCAGGGTGCGCTCGTCCGACCCGACCCGCCCGTTAATGTGCGCCCGCCCGACCCGACCCGCCCTTTAGTGCTCATGCGTGTTCACTCGAGTGCGCACCACAATTCGATGTCCCGCCAGTCCGCCCCGACCCGCCAGTTAGGGTGCGCACACCCGACCCAACCCGCCCGCTATGGTGTGCTAGTTTGGGTGTGCACCACGCTTTCATGTCCCGCCCGCCCGACCCGACCCGCCAGTTAGGGTCTGCCAGTCCGACTCTACAGTCGAGTGCTGGGCGCAGTGGCTTCGGGCACGGGTTAACGACACCGGTCGTGCCTCGCACTCTGCACGCGGCGGTCGCGTGTGTCACTGCCGCGGGACAGTGGCAGCGCACCCACGGATCGCCAAGCGCCGTCTGAAAGTGCGCCTGTGCTTTCCCCTAGCCTCCTCCTGCCTTCCTGTCAGTTTCCGCCTCTCCTCCTTTCCCCCACTCGTCTTCCTCCTCCTCCTCCTCCTCCTCCTCCTCCTCCTCCCTCCTCCTCCTCCTCCTCCTCCTCCTCCTCCTCCTCCTCCTCCTCCTCCTCCTCCTCATCCTCCTCCCCTCCTCCTCCCTCCTCCTCCTCCTCCTCCTCCTCCTCCTCCTCCTCCTCCTCCTCCTCCTCCTCCTCCTCCTCCTCCTCCTCCTCCTCCTCCTCCTCCTCCTCCTCCTCCTCCTCCTCCTCTCCTCCTCCTCCTCCCTCCTCCTCCTCCTCCTCCGCCTCCTCCTCCTCCTCCTCCTCCTCCTCCTCCTCCTCCTCCTCCTCCTCCTCCTCCTCCTCCTCCTCCTCCTCCTCCTCCTCCTCCTCCTCCTCCTCCTCCTCATCCTCCTCTCCTCCTCCTCCTCCTCCTCATCCTCCTCCTCCTCCTCCTCCTCCTCTCCTCCTCCTCCTCCTCCTCCTCCTCCTCCTCCTCCTCCTCCTCCTCCTCCTCCTCCTCCTCTGCGCGCTTGTCTCCACCCTGCCTCGCGCCCCGCCGCCTGGGTGAGCGGGCTTTTGGGCGAGCGGGATTCCAGGCGAGCAGGCTTCCAGGCGAGCGGTCTCCAGGCGAGCGGTCTTGAGGCGAGCGAGCTTCCGGGCGGACGGTTTCAAGGCGGACGACCTTCCGGGCGAGCGGGCATCCGGCCGAGCTGTCTTCTGGGCAAATGGATTTCCGAGCGAGCGGGCTTGCGGGCGAGTGGTCTGCAGGCGAGCGAGCCTGTATCCTTCGCTGACGCGGGCTTCTGGATGAGCCTCCCAAGTTTGCGACTTCCTGATTTTTCAATCCAAGGTCCCAGGAAGTCCCGACCGTATTTCCGGGGCCGGATTTTGACGGGCCGGCGAGGGCTCCCACGGCCTCTTCCCACTCTCTCCCCCGGCCTCCTCCGGCCTCCTTCTCCTCCTTCCCCCTCCTCCTCCTCTTCCTCCTCCTTCTCCTCCTCCTCCTCCTCCTCCTTCTCCTCCTTCTGCTCCTCCTCCTCACTTGTTCTCCAGCCTCCCCCCTTCAACTCCGCCTCATCCTCCCCTTCCTGTTCCTCCTCCTCCTCCTCCTCCTCCTCCTCCTCCTCGTCTTCCACTCCTCCGCCTCCTCCTCCTCCTCCTGCCCAATCCGCAGCCCCAGCACGCACCTAACTGTGAAGCGCGTGGCCACCAAGGCTAGGAGTATCACGGCCGATAGTTCCCTGCTGGAAGGCGTTCAAGCCTCCACGAGTCTGCAGGCGAAATGCCCCTGACCCAGACATCAAGAGGGCCGCGCGGCGCAATTACCTTCGCGCCCCTGGGCGGGGAGGCGGAAGGGAGGAAGAGGGGGAGGAGGAACACGAGGCACAACAATTGGGCAGAGGCGGCCGTTCTCCAGAGAGGAAGGGAAAGGGCAGGAGAGGGGCGGGGGGGAAGGGGGGCGGTCGTCGTCGTTGGCCGTGCTGGTCGTGGTCGTGGGCGCCTCCGGTGGTGGTCGTGGTGGTGCTGCCCGCTGCGCCGGTGCTGCCCGCTGCGCCTTTAATGGTGCGCGTGGTAGTTTTGGTGCTGCCCTCTGACCTTGCTACGCGTGGTGCGTGTCACCCTTGCGGTCCGCTGCCGCTGGTCCCAGAACCAGCTGCCGCCATGCTGCAGCTCCACGCTCCTCCTCCTCCTCCTCCTCCTCCTCCTCCTCCTCCTCCTCCTCCTCCTCCTCCTCCTCCTCCTCCTCCTCCTCCTCCTCCTCCTCCCTCCTCCTGCTGCTCCTCCTCTCCTCCTCCTCCTCCTCCTCCTCCCTCGTCCCTCCCTGCCTCCCTCCATCCCTCCCTCCCTCCCTCCCTCCTCTTCCCCCCTCCTCCTCCTCCTCCTCCTCCTCCTCAACTTTCTCTCCTCCTCCTCCTCCTCTTCTTCTTATTCTGCTTCTTTTCGTCTTACCATTTGTAGTATTAGTTTTATTATTGCTGTTATTCGTAATGTGTTTGTTATTGTTATTGATCATATAAATATTAGTACAATTACTATCAGTATTATTACTACTGTTGATATTATTATTATTACTATTACTAGTATTAGTTAATATTATTAGTGCGATTAGTAGTAGTAATATTAGTATCATTAATAATATTGATATTGCTATTAGTATTACAAATATTATTACTATTCCTACTATTAATCGTATTTGCATATCACATTTATCGATGTTGCAATACTAGTCTTATTCTCAAGAATATTACTAGTAGTAATCGTCGTATCATCGTTATGCGTATCATTATTATTGTAGTTATGAATATTAATGTTCTTAGTATTCCTCCTCCTCCTGCTCCTCCTGCTCCTCCTCCTCCTCCTGCTCCTCCGCCTCCTCCTCAGCCTCCTCCTCTCTCCCTCTCCCTCTCCCTCTTCCTTCTCCTCCTCCTCCTCCTTCTCCTCCTCCTCCTCCGCCTCCTCCTCCTCCTCCTTCTCCTCCCCCCTCTCCCTCCTCCCTCCTCCTCCTCCTCCTCCTCCTCCTCCTCCTCCTCCTTCTCCTGCTCCGCTCTGCTCCTCCTCCTCCTCCTCCTCCCTCATCCTCCTGCTCCTCCCTCCTCCTTCTCTTTCTCCCTTTCTCTTCCCCGCCTCGTGCGCGGTGGACCTCGGCGGTCCCGTCGTCCCCGTGCGGCTCGTGGGCCTCTGCGTCCTCCCGCTCGACGAGAGCTTCCGTGGCCGAGCGGTCGGCCGGATCGGCCTGCCAGACCGAAAAGCGTTGTAGCCGGACGAGGAAATAGGAGGAGGGGAGGAGGAGGAGGAGGAGGATGAGGATGAGGATGAGGAGGAGGAGGAGGAGGAGGAGGAGGAGGAGGAGGAGGAGGAGGAGGTAAGAGGAGGAAGAAGAGGAGGAGGAGGAGGAGGAGGAGGACCAGTGTGGACCCAAGAGTCATCAACGATGTTTGAATTAACCCTCCCTCCAAGCTCCCTCTTCATGGGCCCCTACATCGGTTCATACCCATTGAGGGAACTGTCTCGTTGGAAGACAACCGGTTGAAGATCCTGAAGCCTGCCAGGAAATTGTTCTTGGGATTTCAACGCCACGGATCAACCTGACCGCTGCGTCTTGACGATCCGGAGCCGTGCCAGAACGCCATTTCTGGGACTTCAACGCCGCGAATCAACATAACTGTTGCACGCGCATGATCCTGAATCCTTCCCAAACGCGACTTCTGGTACACTGATCATGGGAATCCGTGAAAATCTGGCAAATTCTTCAAACGAATGCGTGCGGCGCTAAGGCGACAATCACATTTTGAGAAGGAGCCGCCCTCAATCCGTGAAACTCTCACAAATCCTTAAAACGAATGCGCGCGGCGCTAAAGCGAGAACCACATTTTGAAAAGGAACCGTCCTCAATCCGTGAAATTCTTGCAAATGTAAAAACGAAGGTGCGCGGTGATAAGGCGAGAGCCACATTTTGAAAACGACCCTCCCTCAATCCGTGAAACTCGTGCAAATTCTAAAACGAATGTGCGCGCCTTTCAGGCGAGAACCACATTTAAAAAACCACTTGCCCTCAATCCGTGAAACTCTTGCAAATTATGACACCGGAGAAAAACCCCAATCAGATTTTTGTTGGGGCTATGGGGCTGTAGGGCCATAAAGCTAGAAGGTTACGAGGCTATAGGGAGGGCTATAGGGCTATAGGGCTATTGGGCTATAAGGCTATAGGGCTATAAGGCTGTGGAGCTATAGGGCTATAAGGTTATGGGGCTATAGGGCTATAGGGCTATAGGGCTATTGGTCTATAGGGCTATAGGGCTATAAGGCTATCGGGCTATAAGGCTATCGGGCTATAAGGCTATAGGGCTACTGGGCTACTGGGCTATTGGGCTTTTGGGCTATGGGGCACCCCCGGGCACCCGGGCACCCCCGGGCACCCGGGCCCGGCCACTGAAATCGGCCGCACACCGGGCACCCGGGCACCCCCGGGCACCCGGGCCCGGCCACCGAAATCGGCCGCACCTCTCACCTAATCCTTTAATCCGCTAGGACCCTTATAATGACACCGGAGAAAAACCCCAATCAGATTTTTGTTGGGGCTATGGGGCTGTAGGGCTGGGCTATTGGGCTATAAGGCTATAGGGCTATAAGGCTGTAGAGCTATAGGGCTATAGGGCTAGAAGGCTATGGGGCTATAGGGCTATTGGGCTGTAGGGCTATAGGGCTATAAGGCTACTGGGCTACTGGGCTATTGGGCTATTGGGCTATGGGGCACCCCTGGGCACCCGGGCACCCCCGGGCACCCGGGCCCGGCCACCGAAATCGGCCGCACACCGGGCACCCGGGCACCCCCGGGCACCCGGGCCCGGCCACCGAAATCGGCCGCACCTCTCACCTAATCCTTTAATCCGCTAGGACCCCTACAGAGGCAAGCTCTGATTGGGGAATAAAAGCGAATGTGCGCGGCGCTACGGCGAGAGCCACATTTTGACAACGACCCGCCCTCCATCTGTGAAGCTGTGATTACTTTAAACTTCAGAACCATAAATGGTGAACTCTCAAGCGAAACGCCTGGCCCGCCTTAAAAAATGGCCTCGGGGTGCGACAGGGAAAATTATGTATAAGGAGAAGGAGTGGAGGAGGAGGAGGAGAAGGAGGAGGAGGGAGGAGGCGGAGGAGGAGGCGAAGGAGGAGGAGACAGGAGGAAGAGGAGGAGGAGAAGGAGAAGAGGAAGAGGAGGAGGAGGAGAAAGGAGAAGGAGGAGGGAGCGAGGAGAAGGAGGGAGGATTGAGGATCAGGTGGAGGAAGAGATGGAGGAAGAAACGCCAAGCTGCACCACGCACGAGGCACCTGGCAAAACGGTTCCTCGTCGCCGCCGCCGTCGCCGTCGCCGTCGCTGTCGCCTTCGCCGTCGCCGTCGCCGTCGTCGTCGCCATCGTCGTCGCCGTCGACGCCGTTACCGTCTGATTTCTGGCATCGGGGTGCTTTCCAGCAACCGCACCCCGCCGAGGGCATCCCGAACGGCCGTCGGAGATCCAACCTTTTGGCCCGAGAAGCGTCGTCGTCGTCGCCGTCATCGCCGTCGTTATTGCCGTCGCCGTCGCCGTCGCCGTCGCCTTCGCCACCGCCGCCGCCACCGCCACCACCGCCGCCGCCGTCGTCGTCGTCGCCACCGCCGCAGTCGTCGTCGTCGTCGTCGTCGTCGTCGTCGTCGTCGTCGTCGCCATCGTCGTCCAGGTCCTCATCTTCTTCGCCACCAGCTGCCCCCGTTGCGGCCGGGGGGGGCTCTTCGACGGGGGGTGGGTGGGGCATAAGTTGGCTGGAAAGGGGTTCGAAGTTCGAGCTTCGAGGATCGATGCTTTATTGTGGCTTTTTAGGAGGCTTCTCGATCCCTCTGAAATTATACCCAGAACCTCTGGTGGGAAGGGGAGGAGGAGCGACCGTACCGAATGGAGGAGGACGACGACGAGGCCAGCAGCTATGTCAAAAGCGAGCTGAAATACTCGCTTGTCGAAGCTCGAAGCTTGACTCTCTCTCGACGGCGACGACGAGGACGACGGCCACCAAAGACATACGTTTGACGACCGCCAGAGCCCGACGACGAACCACGGACGACGGCCCGACAAGAGGAAGGGGCTCTTTGTTCTTGTGCAGGCGATGGAAGCGCAAGGCCTGAAGCGTCACTCCTCCATCCCTTTCCTTTCACTTCTCCCTGACGCACCCCCAGACGTGTTGGCAGGGCGGGCTGGGCGTGTCGCCTGATACCTCTGCACCGTTGCTGATCATGAACCATGAAGCTTGAGATGTGCAACATCTTCAAGGGTGGATGGCAGGTCGGTTTCAAAATGCTGCTCTCGCCTACGCGCTGCGCACATTCGTCGGACAATGCTGCAAACTTTTCAACGACGGAGAGCGGGCCGTTTACAAGATATTGCTCTCGTTCGCACCGCGCCGCATTCGACTTCAAGTGTACAGCAATTTCAAAGGTGGAGGACGACGGGCTTTCAACATGTATTGCTCTCGCTCCAGCGCTGCGCACGTACGTTAAACATTACACAAACTTCAAGGATGGAGGGTGGCTGTTTTTTGAACGCGACTCTCGCCTCAGCGCCGCGCACAGTCGTTTCTTAAACGTTTATAACAGCTTCAAGGATGGAATTCGGGTCGTTTTCAAAGTATGGTTCTCGCCTTGGCGGCGCGCACATTCGTCTCAGAAGCGTGGAACAGTTTCAACGGTTCGCAAGGTTGAAAAGCCAGGGTGATGCTCTGGCAGGGTTCAGGCTGTTAGGACAGTTCTGGCAAACTTTACGATTGCCAAGACGCAGCAGTCCCGTTGATTCGCGGTGTTAAAATACCAGGAACAGCGTTCTGGCACCATTGAGGGTTGTCAGGATGCAGCGGTCACGTTGATTCGCGGCGATGAAGCGTCAGTTCTTGCTCTTGGGCATGAATGGGGACGCTCGAAAGTTTGTCTTGCAACGGGGCGCTTCCCGCAGTCAGACTAATGTTGCAGGAACCTACGAGAAGGGAGCTCGAAGGGAGGGTTTGTTACAACATCGTTGATGCGTCGTGGGTCTACTTGTCCTCCTCCTCCTCCTCCTCCTCCTCCTCCTCCTCCTCCTCCTCCTCTGCCTCGTCTTCGTCCTCGTCCTCGTCGTCGTCCTCCTTCTCCTCGGCCGTGCCGACGACGAACCTCGCAGGAGGCACGCCCAGAAGCCTCGGCACTCGAGGCCCGAACGCAGTCCTCAAAACCGGTGCCTGGACCCCTCCTGGGGCCATCCTGGCATGTTCTTCACGCCCGAACCAATTTCTGACGACCCCAGGGCCGAAACGGAGGCCGAAGACGGCAAGAATTCTCCTCGAACCCCCTGCTCCTCCTCGATCCTCAATCCTCAATCCTCAATCCTCCTCCTCCTCCTCTTCCTCCTCCTCCTCCTCGATCCTCGGTCTTCCCCCATCCTCTTCTTCCTTACCCTCCTCCTCTTCGATTCTAGATCCTCCTCCCCTCCCTTCTTCATCTCCTCCTCGTCTTCTTGTCCTCCTCCTCCTCATTCGATCCTCCTCCTCCCTCCCCTTCCTGGATCCTCGGTCCTCGATCCTCCTCCCTCGTCCTCAAAGTCTGCTCTCGCTGGGGCTGGGCGCGCCCTCCCCCCCGCGCGCCTGCTCGGCCGCGTCGGCCTGCCCAGTGAAAGGGGGCCGGGTCCGAGGGCCGGGGCCTGCCAAGCCTCGCCCCCGAGGGCCCAGGGGCGCGTCCACGCCTACGTCCTGCCTCCTGCCCGGGTCAGGGCGTCACGCCGTCGCCCCCCCGAGGCGGAGGACGGGGCCCGGCTCCGAGGAGGAAGAGGACCTGGACCTGCCAAGCAGCTCCCTCGAGGGCCGGAGGGTACGTCCACGCCCACCGGGGGGAGCAGGAGCACCATCGACGACACGCCGCCGCGGGGAGCGCGCCCGGCTGTCGGGCAGAAGCGGAAGAGTAGCACGCTGACGGGGCTCCCAACGGCAGCGCGTCCTTGATGCTATTTTCCCCTCCCGACCAGAAGCTCTCGGCCCCAGCTAGGTCAGGAGGAGGAGGAGGAGGAGGAGGAAGAGGAGGAGGAGGAGGAGGAGGAGGAGGAGGAGGAGGAGGAGGAGGAGGAGGAGGGAGGAGGAGGAGGATGAGGAGGATGAGGAGGATGGGGGAGGAGGGAGGAGGAGGAGGGAGGAGGGGGCCCGGCTTCGAGGAGGAGGGCCTTGGTCTGCCAAGCCTCGCTCGTGACCCCTGCCAGGCCAAGAGCCACGCCTTAGGCCTCGGCC